ACGGTGTCTGACCCACTGTCCCAGCCAGTCCCAGAGTGTGAAAGGACAGTGTCTGACCCACTGTCCCAGCCAGTCCCAGAGTGTGAAAGGATAGTGTCTGACCAACTGTGCCACCCATTCCCAAAATATAAAAGGCCAATTTTATATCCAATTGGCTAACTTACCACTGATCCAGTGCAACCTAATCTTCCAGACCAGCTTACCTTGTAGGGACCTTGTCAAATGCTTTAGTAAAGTCCATGTAGACAACATCCACTGCCCTACACTCATCAATCATCTTTGTCACTTCATCAACAACTCAATGAAGTTTGTGAGACAATACCTCTCCTGCATAAAACCATGCTGACTGTCCCTAATAAGTCCATTCTTTTCCAAATGTGAGTAAATCCTGTCCCTAAGAACCTTTTCCAATAATTTCCCTACCACTGATTATAAGGCTCACTGGCCTATCATTTCCTGAATTATTCCTCTTGCCCTTCTTAAACAAAGGAACAACATTGGTTATTGTCCAGTCTCCTAGGACTTTGCCTGTGGCTGAAGAAGATACAAAGATCTCTGTCCAGGCCCCAGGAATCTCCTTCCTTGTCTACTTCAGTACCTTGGGATAGATCCCATCAGGTACTGGGGACTTATCTGTTTTAATGTTTTTCAAGATACCCAACACTTCCTCCTTCTTAATAGCGACTGCCCCAGGATATCAACATATTAAAAATAGGTGGAAAGGTGAGTGGTGAGGATAAAACAAAGAGCTTATAGCAGCATATGGACAGGTGAAGTGAGTGGGCAAAAATGTGACAGACAAAATATAATATGAAAAAGTGTGAGCTTGTGCACTATGGCAGGAAGTATAAAGGAGCTGACATATATTTAAATGAAGAAAGGACAAAGAAAGCTGCAGTCTGGAGGTATTTAGGAGTCCTCGTGCACAAAAGTTAGTATCTAAATTCAGCAGGGGTTAGGGGAGACAAATGGAATGCTGGCTTTTATTTGAAAAGGAATGGAGCATAAAACTTGGGAAGTCTTACTAAAACTATACAAGGCACTGGTTAGACCACACATGGAATATTGAGAGCAGTCTTACGCCCCCTTAGAAAAGGAAAATTATACTGGCACTGGAGACAATCCAGAGAAGGTTCGCTAGGTTGGTCCTGAGCATAGAGGGAATTTCTTCTTGTCTTGCTAGGTTGGGCCTGTCATCACTGGAGTTTAGAAGAATGAAAGTCAACCTGACTAAAACATATAACGTTTTTAGGGGACTTGACAGGGTACATTTGGAAAGGTTGTTTCCCCTTGTACTCAGAGGGTATAATCTTAGAGTAAGGAATCGTGTATTTAAGACAGAGATGAGGACAGTTTTTTACTTCATAGGCCGGTGAATCTGTGGAATTTTCTCCCCCAAAGGATTGAACAGCTTGGAGCGGTAAGTATATTCATGACTGAGATAGACAGATTTCGAATCAGTCAGGGAATCAAGGGTTATTGGGAAAAGGTGGACAAGTGGAGTTCAGGATTATATGATCAGCCATCATGACATTCAATGATAGAGCAGCTTCGATGGGCTGAACAGCCCACTTCAGCACTAACTTTCTTATGGTCCTCTTGAATGTGTTACCCAGTTTCCATCTTGCTGTCCAGGACTGGTCACAGATGCATGGATGTCAAGGAATAAGCAAATTATACAGAGGCTGATTTTTCCTCAGCATTTGTCAGCCTCTGAATTTCCCTCCATCATAAAGCACGTTTGGGAGTTGTAGACTAATGGACACAGAAGCAGAGACTTCAGAAGATCTGATTATTATTCTCTCATTGATTTTTTTTAATTACAGATTTCCCCGAAATCTATCACCTTGGCCGTTGCCAGGTCCCGCATTAAGTCGGCTATGATTTCCGCATTGACCTTGCTATCTCATCGTTCTTCCCTCTCTCTGGGCCAATATCAGCCTCAGTTCAGTGATAGCCCCTCTATTTCCAGCTGAATTATTTGTACGTACTGACTTGCTATCCCTCCATTGTTAAAGAAACATAACCTTCGTCAAGAGTTTTAATCCATTCAAACTGTTGTTGTGAGGTTCAGCAAATGTGGGAAGGCGCACAGCCGGGAACATCAAATGCAAGGAGACACAGTTGATTCATACTTTATGCCAAACCATGTATTCAAACCCAGTCCAGCTATTAGAATGACATCTCCTCTGGTTGGCAGTTGCTGAATTATGACTCAGTCACAGTATTATACCTTTAAATTGCTTCAATAAAGAACCATCAAAAACACCAATGTGGACATCCTTCACATTTATTGAGACCATGTGGCATATGTTACATTCTGTACTGCCTTTAGGACACAAGCAATCACTGGCTTTGAGTTAAAGGACAATAAACCTTGTTGGTTAAATTAGTCACACCTCAATATTTCTCCTTATGTGTTAGAGCTAGTGAATTTGTGAACGTGTAGATTTTGATCGTATTTGTTTCTACTTGGGGAGAGAAATACCGAATAATATAGACCATGTGGGTTGAGATACTGGGCCGGTTTTCATTCTCCTGGAGAGCCTGTAAAAGGTTACAAATACAAAAATGAGAAAACGGCTTCTGAAACAGCAACTTTAGGATCAATGGAAGTGTGTCTTCTATCAGATCACTTGCCTGTTCTTCAGAGGAAGTCCCTAGTTTTAATATTTCAATGAAACTGTGGGTTTTGGATGTTAGCTATGGTTTAAGTCTATAGGCCCCATCTTGGGAAACCTTAAGCAAAGTGACATCAGCCAGATCCAGCAGGTAAGCGATTTTCCAAGAATGCTTGTGGGTCAAGAGAGACGGATGTGTTTATTCCCAGCTCATAGGTTAATCTGTTTCCTAAACTGCATCACTAGGAATCCTCATCCCAGCTCTCAGTCCACTTCCAAAGAGACTCATACCTCCCATCCCCGAATACTTCCTCAATCACTTTTTGTGGCAAAGAACTTCACAGACTCACTATTCTCAAGGTGAAAAATTTCTCCTCATCTCAGTCCTAAATGGCCTTCCCAGTATCCTTAGAGTGTGACCCCCCACCCACCATCCCCCCACCCTCGGTTCTGGACTCCCCGGTCACTGGGAACATCCTTACTGCGTTTACTCTGTCTAGTCCTCTTAGAATTTTACAGGTTTCTATGAGGTCCCCCTCATTCTTCTAAACTCCAGTGAATATAATCCAAACTGATCCAATCTCTCTTGATACGCTAGTCCTGCCATCCCTGAAACCAATTGGTGTTGTTGGAACTACATGGTTGCTATCAGCAACTGGTGAACAAGGACACCTGTGTCTCATTGCACCTCCCGCTTTCCCAATATATCGCCACTTAATAATAATCTGAATTCTAGGTTTTGCTACCAAAGTGGATAACCTCATATTTATCCCCATTGTGCTTCATCTGTAGTACATTTGCCCATTCACTCAACTTGTCCAAATTGCCCTGAAACATCTTTGCATCCACCTCACCGTTCACCCTCCCACCCAGCTTTGTGTCATCATTCTGATGGTGTCAAGGTTCTAGTGTTGCCGGAGCTACAATGAGCTGGGCAAATGGAGAGTGGTCCATCATACTCCTGACATGTGCTTTTGTAAGAGATCACGACTGAAATGGAATTCGGATAGCTCTGTAGCTGAAATACTGAAAGAGTTTTGCAAGTTGGAAATCAAGTGTTGCACATTTTTAGCTGTGCTAACGTAGCTTCTCCAAGCAGTGAGGGAGAGATTTTGAGACTAAGTGACACTGAGAATTTTTCAGTAAAGACATTCTGCCCGATGATTGATTGAGCTGTAGTTTGTTACAGAACTGGAAGTGTAAAGGATGCAGAAACATCCAGAGCTTGCAAACAGAAAGTATTCATCTCTTCCTCCATGTGGGGAGAAATTCAGAAAAACCTATAAAATTTAAAAGAAAGAATTCTAACAAGAATTTGCAGCCACACAGATACATGGGTTTGTAAAGAAGGCATATGGAATGCTTGCCTTTATTGGTCGGGGAATTGAGTACAAGAGTCAGGACATCATGTTGCAGCTTTATAAAACTTTGGTTAAACTGCATTTAGACTACTGCATTCAATTCTGTTTGCCACATTACGGGAAGGATGTGGAGGCTTTAGAGAGGGTGCAGAAGAGGTATACCAGGAAACTGCCTTGATTGGCGGGTATGAGCTATAAGGAGAGGCTAGAAAAACTCGGGTTGTTTTCTCTGGAGCAGTGGAGACTGAGGGGAGACTTGATAGGAGTCTTTAAAATTATTAAACGTATCAATATGCTTGACAGTCAGATTCTTTTTCCCAGAGTTGAAAACTCTAATACTAGAGGGCATGAATTTATTGTGAGGGGGAAAGTTCAAAGGAGATGTGAGGGGCAAGTTTTTTTTTTACACAGAGCGTGGTAGGTGTCTGGAATGTGCAGGCAGGGCAGTGGTGGAGGCAGATATGATAGTAGCGTTTAAGGCACTTTTAGTTAAATACATGAATATGCAAGGAATGGAGGGATATGGACCAAGGGCAGGCAGAGGGATTAGTTTAATTTAGTGTCATGTTCGGCACAATGTTGTGGGGCAAATAACACTTTCCTGTACTGTACTGTTCTATGTTCTAAGAATAGACCAAGACCCATTGGATCAATTATCAAAGTGAAGAATGACCATCGTTTTTCGAGACAGCAGCATGTCGTCGGTGCTAAATGTCAAGAGGAATTCTGTAAGGCAATCTAACACACCCCTAAAATCAGGACTTTTGATCTTTGGAATTTTGATTCTCCTGTTCATCTTCTTCCTCCAGCATTATAGTTGTATCAAACCATCTGTCTATTGTCTGACTTAATTGTCAGTGTTTGGGGTTTTTAAAGTTTAAGTTTATAAAAACCAGACACAGGGTGAAGTGAAAATGACAGGGTTTTTTGAGGGGTGATTTAAACCTCCCCTATATTGACTGGGACTTGTGTAGTGCCAGGGGCTTAGTTTGGGGACAATTTGTTATGTGTGTCGATTTTTTGAAACAATATGTAAATAGTCCAACTAGGGAAGGAGCCATGCTTGACCTGGTATTGGGGAAGGAGCCCAGCCAGGTGATTGAAGTTTCAGTGATGGAGCAGTGACCATAATTCTGTAAGTTTAAAGTTACTTATGCATAAAGATAAGAGTAGCCCATGGGTGAAAGTGTGCAGTTTTGAGCCCCATATCTCAGGAAAGATGTACTGGCCCTGGAGTGGGCTCAGAGGAGGTTCACAAGAATGGTGTCAGGAATGAAAAGCTTAACATATGAGGAATATTTGAGGACTCTGGGTCTATATTCAATGGAGTTTAGAAGGATGAGGGAGGATCTAACTGAAACTTACAGAATACCGAATGGCCTGGACTGAGAGGATGTTGGGAAGATGTTTCCATTGGTAGGAGAGACTAGGACCTGAGGGCACAGCCTTAGAGTAAAGGGAAGACCTTTTGCATCAGAGATAAGGGGAAACTTCTTCAGCCAGAGAGTGGTGAATCTATGGAATTCCCTACCTCAGAAGGCTGTGGAGGCCAGGTCATTGAGTATCTTTAAGACAGAGATAGATAGGTTCTTGATTGTCAAGCAGATCAAGGGGAGAAAGCAGGAGAATGGGGTTGAGAAACTTTTCAGCCATGATTGAATGCCGGAGCAGACTTGACGGCCTGAATGGCCTAATTTCTGTTTCTATGTCTTATGGTCTTATGGAAAGTACTAAATTGAGGGAAGGCTAACTACTACAATATTAGGTAAGAACTGGGGAATGTAGACTGAGAGCAGCTGTTAGAGGGTAAATCCACATCTGGCATGTGTGAATCTTTTAAAGGCCATTGATTAGAGTTCAGGAATTGCATTTTCCTGTGAAAATGAAGAATAAGGATTGCAAGATTCCAAAACCTTGGATGACAAGTGAAATTGAGAGCATAGTCAAAAGAGAAAGGAGGCATACATAAGGTTTAGGATACTGAAAACAGACAAAACCCTCGAAGGATGCAAAGTTAACAGGAAAGAACAGTAAATGGCAGAACCCTGAGCAGCATCAACATACAGACCGATCTAGACATACAGATCCACAGTTCCCTGAAAGTGACAACACAAACGGATAAGATGGTCAAGAAGGCATATAGCAGAGAGTGTAAAAATTGGCAAGCTATGTTGCAGCTGCATAGAACTTTAGTTAGGCCACATTTGGAATATTGTGTACAGTTCTGGTCACCATACTATCAGAATGTGTGGAGGCTTTGGAAAGGGTACAAAAACAGTTTACTAGGATATTGCCTGGTTTGGAGGCTATTGACTATGAGTAGCAATTGGACAAACTTGGTTTGCTTTCAATTGAAAGTCGAAGGATGAGGGACGACATGATAGAAGTTTACAAAATTGAGGTGGTAGATTGGTTCGCCAAGCCGGTGTGTTTGGTTGCAGGCATTTCGTCACCCTGCTGGGTAACATCATCAGTGCGCCTCCAGTGAAGCATTGGTGTTCTGTCCCTTTTGTTATTATATGCCTCGGTTTGCTGGGGTGGTTTGCATCACTTCCGGTTCTGTTTCTCAGTGGTTCGTATATCGGGTCCAGTTCAATGTGTTTGTTGATGGATATCTGGTTTGAATGCCAGGCGTCCAGCAATTCCCTGGCGTGTCTCTGTTTGGCTCGTGCTATTACAGATGTGTTGTCTCAGTTGAATTTTTGTCCTTCTTTGTCCATGTGTAGTAAGAATTGGTCATGTCTCTTGGTGGCTAGTTGGTGTTTGTGTGTCCTTATTGTCTGTTTGACCTATGTAATGTTTCTCACAGCCCTTGCATGGTATTTTGTATATTACATTAGTTTTATTAGTTGTGGATATGGGATCCTTTACGTTCGTCAGTAGCTGTCGTAGGGTGGTTGTCGGTTTGTGAGCTACCCTGATACCTAGAGGTCTGAGTATTACTAGCCCACAAACCAACAACCACCCTACGACAGCTACTGATGAACATAAAGGATTCCATACCCACAACCAATAAACCAAATGTAACAGGCCAGAGATGCAGCCTGGTCCAGCCCATGAACTGAGTGTGTGTCCCTGAGCACACAGTGTCCTTGTGGCAGCATTTGAGTAATTGATGCCATTTAACTTCAAGGTGCAGTATTGGAGTGCAGAAACATAGTGTAAGTGAATTAGAGATGTGCATAAGGATTTTAGGAGCTGACACAAGTTGGCACCGATGTCTAATATGCAGCCTAACTCAGAGAGGAATATGCATGCCAAGGCTGTCTAATATGTATATCTTGACACTG